TGGACGCCGTTTTTTTTTTCCGATCGTATGGAATTTATTGTATTTACTGTTTTAGGTACTAAATTATCAGAATTAATACCATCACAATCACATCGTCAGTAATTTATTTTTCTATGCTTCATTTTCTTTTATACAGTGTGTCCCCGGATTGTCTTTACAAGAGGAAAAACTTTTTTATGGTATTGACATTTTCAGAAAAACATGTGATAGTACTACACTTGGCTTATAAAACGACAGACACAACTATCACTGTCAGGGACCGTTTCATTAGAGAGTCTATATAATCTAACCAGCAAAAGAATAGAGAGTTTAGATTTCAGTGGTGAAATTTGAAGCCTTTTATCCTGGTAGAAAAAGGCGGAACATTATTTTACGTGAAATTTACCTTATGAGTTTATAATCATCTGCTGATGATGCTAACATGGTTAGCGAAACGCGCGTCCAGTGTATAAGTAAAAGTGTTTTGGTGTATTGTGGTGATTTAGTGTTTTTATTTTGCTGAAATTTACCACAGTAATCTGTCATTTTAATGCAATAATAGGTTTTTGCTGAGTTTGGTGTTATTTGCTGGATGTCGTCTGTCGAAATTGCATATTAAATATGAAGAGCCCAGAGAAAAAACTTGATAAGCGCCAATTTATTAATTTTAGGATCTTACAATATTACAGTAGGTAGGTCTCGTCTCTACAAAATGTAGGAGTTACAAAATGTTGGAGGGCAATAAGTTGTTAAATCCTATGATATATGCCTAATAAAAATCTGGAATACACGGAAAAAACCACCAGCCGTCCAGTGCTCTTATGTAAAATTAGTAAAATGGCGTTTATCATATTTTCGCCTGGACCCTTCACGTAATAGTATTTTATCAGAAGACCTGAAATAAAACTAAGTAACAACAGATTTATAGGATAATTAGTAGTTTAAATAGACCGAAGTCAAGCTGGCCAGAACAAAGCGATGCTCAGTGAACCGTATGAACAGCGCTGAAAAATTGATATATAGTTTGCATGTAAAATATACTGGTTTTGTTTACGTATTACCTTAAATGATGTAATTTCTCGAACCTTTCACTTTTTAAGGCTTTGAAGAATTACTCACGCTTTATCGGCATCAACTAACGTCATTGACAAGGCCTTTTATTTTCGACATTTTAATAAACGATCCAGTGGTATTGTACTTTTGCAATATCTCCATTGTTTTTTGTTTAACTCGAGCTCGTCAAGATTAGTAAATTATAGCTATTACATGTGTTAATGGTCCTGTTATATATGCAACGGTAATTATTCGAAAGGCAGGTCCTGATTTGATGTGTTTAATTGTTGAACGTTGTTAAATTAAGTAGTTATTACATTTTTTCTTGAATTTGTGTCTAAGAAGATATTTATTAATCAACACTTAATTTAATTAGAATTAAATAGACAACGTTTATTAGTAGATTTATTGCACGTACACTAGTAAATTAGTGAGAAGGATGTTGCTGTTTAGCCTCAATGAGAACGTTAAATTGTGGGGTTATCTTCGACAACGCAAGGCGCATATCATCTGCGACGTTCAATCGGTTGCGACTTTTTGTTTTTATTGAGACCAGAACCGAGAACCCTGCCTCGGGCAAAGGTACGTAGCAGCAAATGGTATCAGAACGGACATAGCTCGCTTGACAAGAAGAGGGTAGGCTTGACTTAAAGAACACCAAAAACTCGCCAAGATCTTATGCATGAAATTCAGGTTTCAAAACTTCTTTTGATCTCATGTCAATTAAGTCATCTTTAATAAGATCTTCATCGCTGATATTATCCGTGTCGATTATAAATGGACCCCCTACCCACGTTTCATTTTCAAGCGATTTTAAGTTAAATTAGCATTCAAAAAAGTTTGCAATGTATCCAAATGCTTAGACACCTATTTCTGTAGCATTTTTGATATCGTGTTGCCGTCACCTTGTGCTATTAACTCTTCAAACATCGGTAAATTTGCAAAGTTACCAGATTGCACCCTCCTTTTCCAAAGTGGCAGTTTACAAATTAAACCTTTCGACCGTTCAGATGCATCCACGATAGTTATCGCAGAGCCCTGAAGAGACAAGTTAATCTCATTCAACTGAGTAAATATATCTGCCAAATACGGTAGCCCCCGTACAAAATCTTCGCTCTCAAGATATTCAGATCAGACAGTGATTCTCCTTTGTCTTTTAGAAAAAGTAACACTTCTGTCCTCAACTCAAACAATCGCTTTAAGACCTGTCCCCTTGACAGCCAACGAACTTCTGGGTAGTACAGCAGTACTTCATGTTCTGACCCCATTTCTTGACAAAGTCTTTTAAACAGGCGGTGCCGCGGTGATTTAAGGCTCTTGCTCTGATGAAGTTAATTATTTTGACACATGTAGACATAACTTCCTTCAGAAATGTAGGTAAAGTCCGTGAAACCAAGGCATGTCGATGTAAGACACAATGAGTTATTATGACATGAGGGATCTCTTTCTTGACTAAAGCCGCGAAACCAGACGTATTACCAAGCACTGCGGAAGCTCCATCGGTGCAGATACTACCAAGTTTAGTTTTCCAGTCTATATTTTGTTCGTTGAAAAATCTTTTTGTCATTTCAAAAACATCTGAAGCCTTTATAGTCTCCAAAAGTGAATTGCAAAAAAGAAACTCTTCTTTAATACATGTGTCTTGTTGTACGTAACGGACAATACTAAGAGTTGGCTACATTGTGACAAATCGGTGCTTTCGTCTAATTGACTGCTGAATGGAAATGGTGAAGCAATTAATTCTTCAACAACTGCTTGTAAAACATTTGACGTAATTTCAACAATTTTGGAATTAATAACATCGTTTGATAAGGGAACAGCTACAACTTTGTTTTTTGATCCTTACGCGCATCGCGTAGTGTTTAGTGATTAAATACCTACTGAATTCGCCGCCCTACACTATTTTATTCTTAATAAATATGTTTACAGTTAATTGGTGTAATGCGGACCGCGGACCCCTGATACACATGCTATGGACCACACTTTAAGAAACCCTGATCTATGATCTACGTCTAAGTTCTTAACAAAACTATTTAATAGTCAATTTCTTGTTGCCTTTTTACGATAATTTTCATAAATCTTTCAATATTATATTTGTGGTATATGCATCAAAAATTTATTTTCTTAAACTCTGTAACTGTAACGTTTATTTTAGTATTGATTATACAAAACTTTTGAAAAGTAGGTTTCTAGTTGTCATATTTTCTTATAGATCACGCAATAGGTTTTTTGTTATTTATATATATCTCTTATATATCTCTTTTTCAGTCTTAATAAGAGTGATGTCGCTGGTATAACATTAGAATTATCATATACAGGGTGTGGGGTGTGTCTTAAATAAGTAAGCACATATTTTAGGGGTAGTATAATTCGACCCTAGAAACACGAGTTTTTCTGAGTTTTTTTTTCGCGAAAAAAGAATTTGAAAATTCAGAATTTTTTGGAATTTTTATTTTATTTTTTTTAGTTTCTAGTTAAAAAACATAATTTGTTGATCATATGGCAACATAGGTAATAGATTAAATTTACAAGAAAGAAAACCCAGAAAAGACCCAGTGGTTCTCAAAATTTGAGCAAAATTTTTTTTTAATTTTCAAAGTAAAATAACTGGGTTCTATTGAACTTATTTGAAAAACGGTAAAGAGAAAATATGTTCTTTTCTATCGAGATCTACCAGCCCTGAAAATATTTGCACTGATTTAAGACTCGCCCTGTACAGTTAGTATCTATATATGTATAGGCCTATCTTTGTAGGAATTGGTATTCTTTTCAAAATCTGTTTGAATCTTAAAACAATACCACGTTTGGAGATACCACGTTTTTTTTAATAAGTTTCTCAGTTCAAAAACGCTCATTCAATTTTCTTTAATATTAACTACACTATTAAAATTAATTCATATTTCGCAGTAAAAAAATTGTTTACAACCACATATGTATGTAATGTTGACATTACTGACGTCAATTACTGAAAATTTTAATATTGTTGCTATCTTTAGCAGCCTCTTCCATTTCTCTCACTCGGGTTTACTCTTATTTCTCTTTCCTCTGCTCCTTCTATAGTATCTTTAAGTTCTAATGGTTCTTTGGTTAATGTTCCTGGGGTGGGTTCTATACAACTGTCAAAATGTCTAATACCACTGTCTTCCTTATCATCTGCCAACATTTTGGCTTACTTTTTTACAGAAATTCAAAGAAACGAACGATAAATTTAAAATTCAAAATAAGGTATTTATGATTTACTGATTTTTAAAGGTTAGTAGGCCAAAACAAAATAATTACCAATTTTGGCATTTTTACCGCTTTTTTTCATTTTCAAAACACAAAATTGTACCTCGTTTTTGATTAAGTTGTAAATAAAATAATAACAATTTTAATTAATTAGTTGTAATAGTAAAATTAGTGGTAAATAAAATAATAACAAACCTTTGAAGAAATCTGTCATTAGTGTATGGAGATTGATAATTAATTAATCTCCCTATATTACCAACATTTAGGGACTTAAGCTTCCTTAATAATTTTCTCAGTTGTCGAAAAACCTTCATCTATTTTTCTTAATATATATTTAAAATTTTTATATAAAAAACCAGCAATATGTCGTCGCAGTCGCAGCCACCCTAAATTGTAAACTACTAGAAGTTAGATTTAATTAGAAGTTAAATATAATATCAAGATTTATTTTTTGTCGCAGAGTGTAGTGCACACTTTTTGTACATTACACTCTGATAAGTGAAATATTTCATTGATATTTGACGTAATTTCCCGTCATTGTGGGAAAAAGGAACAAAAAACAGTGCAGAAATAGAATGAAAAATCATATTTTGGTTATGTCGAATCGCAGTAAAATACTTTTGGATTGAGAATATGTAACCTTGTCCATAAATATTGCAATAAAGAAAAAATCTTCCGTTGTAAAAAATTATTTAGAACCGATAAATATCACACACACTGAAATAAATAGACTTGTACCAAAAAATTGACAACTGTTATTAAACATCTTGTTTCTCTGTACATAACATTTCTTTTTTTTAACATTAGTTAGAACAATCTGTTTTAGCCATTTCCTCAATTTTTTTCTCCATAGTACCTCGCCGATTCTGGTTCATTTCGACCAGTCTCGCCATTAGCTGTTGCGGCGGGTGGGCTTTTTTAAATTCGCAAAATATGTTTTTCTTTTCGAAAGCTTCCTTGTTTAGTTTGAGGCGTTCGGGAATGTCAGAGGGCGACACAGGTCCGCTCCTGGTCTTGTAGGAACCCCGTAGGGCAGGGACAGGTTGGGGCTTAGGTGGTTTGGGAATTGACATTAATCTTTAAAGGAATATAACAAATTAGTTTAAGAATAATGCAAAACCATAAATATACCATTTTAACAGCCATCTGAATGTAAAATGGCCAGACACAGATAAATGAAACAAGTTTAGATTGGAAAGTGCCCATAAGGACAATGTAAACACTATTTGGCGCTATTCTTGCAACGGTCGCGACCCAAAGTTTTTGAAAATTTAGAGAGCGGTTCGGCTTTTTCCGAAATTATATCGCCAAATGTTATTTATTTAAATTTATTATTATTTTCTTTTAATTTTATAAAGAAAATACAATGTGTTGCATACAAGAAACTTTATTTTATATTAGGACATGTATGAAATACCTATGAAACTTTGGAAATCGACGTTATGCCACGATCCAGGATGATTTTTGCAGTTCACAGTTCACAGCACAGCTTTTTAAGTTTTTAATGCCACTTTTTCACAATTATCACGAGTTTGAGTAAATAAAACTTAAATTAAACTCACAAGATAGCAATAATTACTTTGAAAATGAACGCTTTAAACACTTTTCCAATTTTTTTCAATGAGAGCGGTTTAGATTTAAAAAGAATTTATAATTTCTGAAGATTCTGACTTTGACAAGAGATATGGACAAGAGAAAATTTTTCTGTTTTTGTTTGAGGTTGTTCTTAGCAACCGCTATAGCAGCGCCAGATCGCGTACAACGGTCGCGACCCAAAATTTTGACGGGCATTTCAATCTAAATTTATTTCCTTTATCTGTGATGTAAAATGGCCAAACGTCTGCCATTATGACGTACAATCCGTTAATCAGATGCGATGTCTGTCAATTTCATTCAATCAATTCATTTATGTTACTTAGAAATAATTAACGAGTGAAGCAAAATGATACAAAAATAGGCATAAAATGCCTATTTTTGTATCATGGGTGGAGGAAAAGATATTTACTACTTTAACATGAATATAATTAATAAATTTTGTTTGTCTTCCAGGGACTATTATTTAATGTTTTGTCAAACAGTAAAACATATTCTGTTCTTAAAAGATTAATTCCTCGAAAAAATATGCGACAGCTTCGGCAGACTCAATATTTTATACTTTCCATTATATTTTTCTCAAGTTTTTACATTTGCTTAGTATTTCAGTTTTTACATTTACTTAGTTAGTTACAGAAGAGTACTCGATTATTGAAATAACCGCCATCGCTCGATTATGAACGAGAGATGACGAGTTACGAGTGACGAACGCAAGCGATCCTAGAATAAAATAAAATCCGATTTTAATGTTCCGACATACTCGATAAAAAGCCGAGCGAATTTTGTACATACATTCCAGGTATCAAATTTATACGACGTTATTCGTTGCGTACCTGAGTAACAAAATTCTACGACCTACATCGGCAATGCTTTGAAATGAACTAAATCAAGCGATCCAGCGAATCGCTCGTCGCCTGCTACTTGCCATTCATCACCGAAAGAATATGTGTCCTGCGCACGCAACTTACTGCGTAGCGCTTGGCGTTAACGATTACTTACAACAAGTGACTGACAAAAAACCGTATTTTTAAATACGAGCGATATTTCGCTCGAGCGATCGCTCGATTATTGCAATCGCTTGAATTCGCTTGAGTACTCGATTATTGAAACTAATCGGTTTTTCCCAACACTACTAAATAGCCACCTGAACATAAAAAATGCAATGTAAATTTTTCAAAAAACTCATGAATAAATCTTTCCCATTTTGTTAAAGAGAACTTTATATAACTTTACTTATGTAGTATTAAACAACCAAAATTACTTAATATTTTTTTCGTCTTTGTTTTTAAATTTAAACATTATTTACAAAGTAGTAGTTAACCATGTATCTACTTATATCTTAGAAAGTAAATAGTTTAACTTTTCATATAAAAAAGGTACAAGTAAAAACTGTACATATCTAACATTACGGTATGTAAATTTGCTCTAGTAATGGTATTTTATCTGTTTATTTTTTTACGTAAATTCAATCGTACATAACTGGATGAACAAAATTCCTAACTAATTGGCCTCAATACATCGTAAGCTGAATTAAATATTAGGTGTAAATTATTGCCAATAATGAATTCCTCTATTAAATTAAATTAAAATCGGAAGTGATAAAGTCGATAAATTATTTTCCTTCACAGTTTTAAGTTGATTTCATGAAGTTTACTTCTGCTATTCAATGCTTAATACATATTAAAATATCAATCCGTGTTATCCATAGATGAATTGCCTACATGGAAATAAATGTATACCTTATTAATTATATGTTTGTTATTTAAATGTATTTTTGTTATTTTTCGCAAAAAAATATGAATAAAAAGCAGAAAAACACTGTTGCAACATAAATTAATAGCCTATATCCTTGTGGGGGGTCATTGTATTAAATGGTTCTGTGAATAGATATTGTGTCAAATATGATATTCTACAAATACTTAGGTTAAACAAACTTTAAAAGTAAAATCGAGAATGGTCTATGGTTGTAAAAATACATAAATGTAAAATGTATGACATTTTAATGTAAATGACATTTTATAAAAAAATAATTATTTTTTAGACAAAAATTATAAAAAGTGAAGATTTTGTGAATTTTTTAAAAAATTTTAATTGTGTTTTTTAACATTGTGAATGATCGTAAACTAAAAAGTATAAAGTGTAATTGAAACCTGACTGATTCTCCCTTGGGGGCAGCACCGGCGGAGAATACACCAAACCTATTATAGCATGTAATTAATGCATATTATGCATTAATTACATAATATGCATCCATTTAAAAAAAATCGATGAGTTTTTTTAAATGGACGCATAATTTCCCCTATTTTCATACAGGGCGAGTTTCCTACGATGTTCTCTATGGGTATCTCGGAAACTACTGGAGATAGAGAGTCGGTTAAATGGGAAAAGTGTTGCAGTTTTGTGGGGTCATAAATATGCGCTTTTCAGATTTTTTAAAAAGTTCATGGCATTTTTTTTCGAAATATCTGGTAAATATTTCGAAAAAAAAAAACAAATTTGGGCTATTTTAAAATTTGTCCCTAATTCCATTATAAACTATTTTAGACAAAAAGTTTTCACATAAAAGTTGTAGATAATCAGATCCTTAGTGAGATTGTGTTCTCATTTTTGACATATGATACAAACATATGTTTTTTTTTAAATGGAGATCATAGTTGGCCATGACTTCATAAAAAGCGCCATTTTTTAAGCTTTTTAGTGATATAAGCTAATATATGTTTTCTTCGAAAAATTACTGAGTTATAGCCAATTCTTATCATTTTTAAACAATTTCACTTAGTTAGCCATGGAAACAAGTTTAATCGGCTTTGCTCTCAGAAATGTGAAGCTGTCACATCCAAACTTTGTAAATTAAAATAAACAAAAATTGTAAATATGAATTTTTCATATGAAGAAAAGCGTGTATTATATCGCTAAAAAGCTTAAAAAATGGCGTTTTTTATGAAGTCATGGCCAACTATGGTTTCCATAGAGGAGGACACAACCTCATTAAGAATGTGATTATCTACAACTTTTATCTGAAAACTTTTTGTCTAAAATAGCTTATAATGGAATTAGGGACAATTTTTAAAACAGCCGAAATTTGTTTTTTTTTTCGCCATGAACTTTTTCAAAAATCTGAAAGGCGCATTTTTATGACCCTACAAAACTGCAATTCTTTCCCCATTTAACCGACTCTCTACCTCCTCGTAGGAAACTCACCCTGTATAATTGACACTCCCACCGTATAAAAAAGAAGATAACTATCACCCCCTATGCACGTTACCTCTTATATAACGGGTGCAATTTCCTCTCGCTCAGATCAATTAAGCGCTTCTCGGCGCTCTCGAAGGGCGGCATCGGGTCCACCTGGCCCTTCAGCGACGGGTCTTTCACCATATCCTCCAGGATTTTCGTTTCCGGATCCGTTTCGAGGTTGGGCATTTCGACGTGGCCCGTTTGTAGAATGTAAGCGGTTCCGCATGTTCGGTACGCATCGCCACCCATTTTATTCGATATGTGCTTAAGGTCGCAAACTATCTGCTCGTCCGGAACTATGAGTTAAAATTTAAAATGGTTGAGGATTATAATGGATAATTTGGATTTGACCAAGTGTCGCTAAACTAGAAAGGTTGTTTGATAACTGATGAATTAGAATACTGTATTAAGAGTCCATTTCACTAGTTCGAAAAAGTAGCAAAATAAGCGTTCGGCATTTAACGTTTTATGTAAAACCGGCTAGCTATTTTTATACAAATGAAGAAGGAAATTAAAGATAAAGGATTATATTATATCCGTATTGTAGCACCTTTTTAGACAACTTCTTTATTTTTAAGATTTTGATGGACAAACATCAACAAAGTATTCATTATGTTATTGGACTAAATTTTCTTGAAAATAAAGACGCAATTTAAAATTCCGTTACAATACGGAAATAGATTGAAGTTTTGTGATTACAGTGATATATGATGTATGTGGTTTTGGAACAAATTGCTCGCTATTTTATGGCAAATTCTGAAGCTATGCAAACCTTAATAAAGCCTTAATCAAAGCACATGTGTTTAGAATTTTGGGTGTGGCTTAACACGACAGGATCGGGCTAAGTGAGCTAAGTCTTAGGCAGATTTCTGAAATATAAGATACAATTTTTTAAAATAAGACTTTCGTAATCATACAAATTGTACGATAAAAAGTATGGAACTGATACGGAACGGAAGCTTACGTATAGCGTCAATACAATAAAAAATACGGAACGGATATGGAATGGAAACGGAAGGTATAGTGGGAATCAACCTTTACCTGACCCCTGAGAGCTAAAAATGTTTGTGGCAAGTTCCATTTTCTTTTAAAAATTAACCAAGGCATATACTGACATGAGTCAAAAAACTAAATATTTAGGAGATATGGTTCTGACCGAAAAATAATGTTTTAGAAAAATTCGCTCACGAAATTATTGCACAGGTTGTTTTAAAAATAGGGTAAAAAACAACTCTTCGATTAATCCTGTATAATATGTTAAATACTAAAGTTTATAATAAACTGAGTTTACGAATTAAAGTTGATACATATATCTATATACAGTTTGCTAAAAAAATCAAGGAAATAGAGCTAAAAATAAGAAATATATACAAGGTGAGTCTTAAATAAGTACAAATATTTTCAGGGGTGGTATATTTCGACCCTAGGAACACGTCTGTGAGTTTTTTTTTCGCAAAAAAAGATGTTGAAAATCGTGCATTTTCTTTTAAATTTCCCTGTATGTTTTTCGAAAACTTTTTACGCCTGTTTTCTAAATTAACTGAATTTTCCCACTGTATAATTTCTTAATCTTTGATATTACCATAGTTACGACTTTACTCCATGGTTATGGCACTAAAAGGGATGCAAATACAGAAAAAATCCAGTGGCTTTCAAAATTTTTTCAAAAAAAAATCATTTTTTTTTTAATTTTCAAACCTAAATAACTCGGTTATTTTGGACTTATCTGAAAAATGGTAAAGAGAAAATATATTTCTTTTATCGAGATCTACTAGCCCTAAACATATTTGTACTTATTTAAGACTCACCCTGTATAATTTTAAACTTGACCAAAAAATTTTCCGTGGCGTGTTTTTGCATCTGAGTGTATACCTATAACATGTAATTGAAACACTGTTTGTATATATGGGAATTACCACCATAAATCCACTAAGGGAATTCAATAATTTTACTCATGGACCATATAAAGCAGACGAACCGTATATAAACATTGTCAATAACCTCGCTGCCAGTTTAGCGACCTATGATAGATAAATTTCCTTATAATGTTAAAGGAAAGCAAATAAAACATCTAATATCACACTACAGTTGCCATCAGTACGATGATTTAAAATTTCCTTAAAGGACTATAAAATAAATATAGATGTAATTACCAAGATCTGCTGTACTGTTATAAGCAATGTTGATGAAGTTATGTCAATACAATACACCAATGAACCTAATGCATCAATTAACCAGTTATTATCATTAATACTAATGATATCGACTTAAGTATTAGAACACCTTTTAGTTATATTATACAGGGTGAGTCTTAAATAAATGCAAATATTTTCAGGGCTGGTAGATCTCAATAAAAGAAACATATTTTCTCTTTACCATTTTTCAGATAAGTCCAAAATAACCGAGTTATCTAAGTTTGAAAATTAAAAAAAATGATTTTTTTTAAACATTTTGAAAGCCACCGGAATTTTTCTGTATTTGCATCCCTTTTAGTGCCGTAACCATAGAGTAAAGCCGTAACTATGGTAATATCAGAGATTAAGAAATTACACCGTGGGAAAATTTGCGGTGAACAGGCAGTTCTAAAAATTTTCGAAAAATATACAGGGAAATTTAAAAGAAAGTGCACGATTTTCAACATCTTTTTTTGCGAAAAAAATCTCATAGTCGTGTTCTTTGGTTCATATACCACCACTGAAAATATTTGCCCTTATTTAAGACTCACTCTGTATAGTTAAATAATTCTAATACCTTTGATGTTTTAAGTTTTAATTAAATGGCTTAAAATGTGTGTGATGATTCATAAAAGTATTTACTTTCCCCATCTTGCTTCTAAAGGATACTACACCTAATTTAAACATATACCGGGTGCGTCTCAAAAGTGGCTCACCCCTATAACTTTTTTATTTTTTTAGATAAAAAAACGAGATTTGGTATGTTAGTATATGAAATAAATTAGTATTAGTATTCAATTGTTCTTGGTCACTTTCTGTTTCTCCGGAAATTACTACAACTTTTGATTTTTAAATGGCACTCTCGGTATTTTATTATTCTATTCGATAGAATATTTTACACCATATTTATGGAATAACCTATCATATGTAACTTTTCACATTTTCGCATATGGTTTATATGAAATTGTAACATAAGGTTCATAACGACAATTTGACTCAAATACCAAGTGTGTTGTACCAAATTATTCGCAAAAATGCTTTTTTAAAATATGCTAATGTGCCACCCTTGTCGCATTTGAAAATAATTGAGATATTATTAAAAATACGATTTGCATGGGCATTTTTAATCGACCAGGACAAGACACGAAAACTATTAGACGATTAAATCTATTTTTCCAAAGCGCCTTGATTAAAAATTAGTGTTTGTGTAAACACAGCCACGGCACTTTAGATTGAAATTTAAAATAATTTTTTTTAAGCAGAAATGTCAAAAGTGGTGTGCATGGCTGCCGCCTGGTAGAATATCTATCAATCAGATTGGATTGTCTTTACAAGAAGAAAAACTTTTTTATTATTGACATTTTGAGAAAAATGCAAATTCTTCAAAAAAAATTTGCTTCTTCTAAAATGTTTAATCCCGTTTATACTTTTCCAACTTTCTATACCGTTTTAGAGAAAGAAATTTTTAAGAACTGGCGTTTGGTATCAGAGATCAACTTTTATTCTGATTTAAGGAAAGATGCTTTGAGAGGGATTTAGTGTTCTGTCCTTTGTCCTTTTGTCCTTTATTTACATCAGGAAGATATAATTGACCGACTTGAATTACATAGTCATATTGTTGAACTCATTGAAGAAGAACTCAAAGAACTGGAGCAGAAGTATGAAACTAAAGAAATAAATGAAGATGTAGCCCTGGGACTGAAAACTTTACAGGGCGTAAACCCCATGTAAATCGAGAGACTCCTGTATTTTAGTTCTTTAGGTAATATTTTCATCCAAGGACACCCTGTATATAATAGACCAATTTTGACAACCTAAATATTAAGAAAGGATAAAAAAAGCTCAAGTATCAATACCAGAGTTTTAATAAACATAATAGTATATTACATACCGAGGAGGGAAAAGTGTTTCATTACTGTCGAGAGATTAACTAAATCTCGAGACAATAATGAAAAGTTTCCTCCGAGGTTTGTATACTATTTTATCTACAACCACATCATTAAATAAAAAATAGGGACAGTATTTTATTTTGAAAAAAAATGCGAAAATGTGTCGTTTTCTGTTTTGGCATTTTCATATCTATAGTTACCGGTACCAGTGGTTGTTATGGCGCAAACCTTCAACAGCAAAACAAACAACTAAGTGACAGTTTTGAATTTCTCGTTCGCTTTTTCGAATTTACATAACATAGAAAGCCAGAATGTTGTCGGAAAGTTCTGATAATGAAGACTACTTTAATATTGGTACTCCACCAGAAGTTACAGAAGCTGCAAAAAGAGCAGAAGCCAGTTTACTTCCAGAGAAAAGTAGGGGGCGATATGAAATAGCATTGAAAGTATCCGAAAAATGGTGTGCCGAAAGAAATGCTAAGTATATTGCTTTGGAGACAGTCTTGATGGCATATTTTAGCGACATGGCAAGGCAGAAAAAGCCATATACTCTTTGGGCTACGTACAACATGATACGGACAATGCTAGAATTAAGAGAAAAGACTGGCAAAACAACTGACTATCAAAACATCACAAATTCGTCGCTTATTTAAAACGCCAGAATGTAGGTTTTAAGCCAAAGAAGTCTAGCATTTTTATCTTCAACAAATAAATGTATTAAAATCTTCAATTATTATTGTTAATTTTTGTTGATGTTAGATAAGTATTTAATAAAGATATTACAAGAATATTTTGCTTCATTAAATGATGCGAGAAATAAGAAAAACCGTGTGAAGGAAATGGGTGAGGGAAATGGATGAGGGAAATGGGTGAGGGAAATGGAAGAGGGAAGAAATGTAGATAATTTGACACTTTCAAATTTTTTAAAAGTCAGTAATGTCAGTATTATTACATATGTGGTTGTAAATAAACATATTTATGACTAGCAAAGGCAAACATGGCAACCCAACACAGTTAAAAAAAAGCACATGTCATTCGCTACCGGAATACGTGGTAAATAATGTAAATTTCCGCATGCTCTACGTCGTTATGATAGTTTCACTTAATCCCTCTGTCTTTTATGGGAAAATTATCGGATGAAAGTAAATTAGCCGTGTTATGAATGGAATTAAAAACAAACATTAACAGAAAATATAATGCAGTTAATTTGAAGTGAATTGTAATATAATATATTAATTAAGAAACATAAAAATGTAAAGCGCTCTTTAAGTAGGTTAAATATTGTTGGTACTATATTTGAGTACCTATCGGTTAGTTCGAGAATTTCTTTTTTTAATTTAACAATACACAATGAAAACGGTATTCTGGTTAGATGACGGTAAACAATTTGTTTCTTTATTACATTTCAAGACTGGATTGGTCTATATTTTTCCCCAAATCATTTATTTTTTGGAATTGGAAATAAGCACATATGGCTCAACTTTCGTTTAGCTGAAATCGGTTTATACTATAAAAAATGACTTTATATATGCGTTCTAGAAGGCGTTAAGACAAAGAGTTAAGAGTACAAATTTTCCTGCGGAAATGCGTCATTTTCATTTCTCGTACTTTAGTATAGCCGAAATCTGTTCATCAAAACTAGTCTTCGGGGTGTGTTTTAGACATTTTTCTAAACATAAAAACACAAAAAAGTGTCTGCGGAAATTTTTTATTTTTATTTTACATAAAAAAATGCTTTGACTTTAGAATAGCCGAAATCAGTTACATGAAAAATGAACTTATATTTGTTTTATACGAGCCTTTACGAGCAAAGCAATACAATAAAATTCCTGCGGAAATGTGTCAGTGTCATTTTGTGCACTTTGATTGTCATACATTTTTCAGTTTAGAAGCTTACGGGACCCGGCAGCGAATAGGGATTCTGGGTGGGGTAAAACATATTTCGGAGGAATAACAATTCTTGTAGAATTGATAATATAGGTTCTTGTAAACTATAAGTACCTCGGAATGTTGCACTTATTCTTGTTTTTTATTAAAGCTTTACGTAAATAATAGGGCTGATTCAAAACAAAAAATCATTGGATCATGCAGTTTTCTTTTATATTTTAATAATTAACTGTGATTTTGAAAAAAAATATTAGATTGGTTAGCATTTGGGTTGTTTTGGTTAATTCTAAAGTGCGAAATTTGGAAATTACGCATTTCCGCAGGAAAATTTGTGTTTTCCGTGGTTCACAGTAGCTTTTTAAAGACAGTTTTTTTTCTAATAACTGATTTCAGCTAAACGAAAGTTGACCCGCATATATGTATGTTCCGGTGATTTTAAGAGAATATTATTAAGTATCAAATAATTATTAATATACCGGGTGCGTCCCAAAAGTGGCTCACCCCTATAATTTCTTTATTTTTTTCAGATAAAAAAACTAAATTTGGTGTGTTAGTATATGACATACATTTAGTTAGTACATGATATACATTGACATGGTATTTTTTACGAATAATTTGATACCTCACTCTTGGTATTTCGAGTCAAATTTTAGTTCCGAACTGCAGTTATAATTTCAAATAAACCCTATGCGAAAATGTCAAAAGTTGACATATTATACGTCATTCTATTCGGACTGTTATTTTCTATCGAATAAAGTAAAAAAATACCGAGGGTGCCGTTTAAAAATCAAAAGTTGTAGTCATTTCCGGTGAAACAGGAAGTGACCAAAAACAATTGAATACGTCAATCAATACTAATTTACGTATTGATTGACGTATTCAATTGTTTTTGGTCACTTCCTGTTTCATCGCAAATGACTACAACTTTTGTTTTTTAAATAGCACTCTCAGTGTATTTTTACTTTATTGGATAGAAAATGACACTCTGGATAGAATGACATGTCATATGTCAATTTTTGACATTTGACGCCGTTCCTTTTTCGATCATACAGTATTTCGTTTCAATAGTAACAATTAAATTAACTTTAATTAATTAAGAGTTCATTTCACTAATCGCAAACGAGATTTGGTATGTTAGTATATAACATAAATTAGGATTGATTGACGTATTCAATTGTTTTGGTCACTTTCTGTTTCACCGGAAATGACTACAACTTTTGATTTTTAAATGGCATCCTCGGTATTTTTTTACGTTATTCGATAGAAAATGACACTCTCAATGTCAAAAGTTGACATATGATATGTCATTCTATTCAGAATGTCATTTTCTATCGAATAAAGTAAAAACATACCGAGGATGCCATTTAAAAATCAAAAGTTGTAGTCATTTCCGGTGAAATAGGAAGTGACCAAAAACAATTATTGAATACGTCAATCAGTCTAGATTTATGTATATAATAATATAATATTATATATACTAACGTACCAAGTCTCGTTATTTTATCTGAAAACTTAAAAAAGTTATAGGGGTGAGCCACTTTTGAGACGAACCCGGTATAGGTAGTAAATTAAATTTATAACAAAAAAAGTTGTTTTTTTTTAAAAATTGAAATTTTTTTTTCAATTTTTAGTTAAGAAACATAATTTCTTGATAATATGGCAACATAAGTATTAGTAAGAATATATAAACAAGGGTATTAGATTAAATTCACAAGAAATAAGACTCAAAAAAGATAAGCAAAAAATCTTTCTTTTTTTGGAAATTTTGAAAGTAAAATAACTCGGTTATTTTAGACTTATTTGAAAAACGCGGTAAAGAGAAGATACGTTTCTTTTATCGAGATCTACCAGCCCTGAAAATACTTGCACTTATTTAAGGCTCACCCTGTATATATAAGGTCTCTTAACGTATTTATCAGTAAAGGTAATCTGAAGGTAAAAATATTTTTAACACAAGGTGATCTATACTATTCCAATTATTCATCAAATTTTCAGTTTCATGAATAAATAAATATAAAATATGAAAACTACCCACCAGGCTTTACAGGATTCGTATCTGCTTTCTTCTCTGCCTCATAACATTCTGCTTCTTTCTTCCCTTTAAATATATTCCAGATCGACTTTTTGGGCGGCTTTTTTGCTGGCTTCAAGCATTCTACTGCCTCTTCCGGGTCTTTCTTCAATTTCCTAACTGGACGATGGATATATCTCAGTTGAGCACAGTTATTTTGCACAATGTTGAGTCTTATGACCGCCTGAGCTAATTCTCGAACCAATTTCATTTTGATAAAAATTGCGCGATATTTTCTACGACATAATTTCGTTGACAATGACACGGTGACATTAAAAACAAATTTTTGTCAGTCAATCGAGTTGTTCTTATATTATTATATTACGCAGAAATTATTTTGAAGATTAGTTCTGGGTCTTTAGCAATAATATGCTATTGCGACTTCGTTCTAACCTGATTGCCTTAGGATATTTTTGGTCGAGCGACTCGTAGCTTAGATTAAATAAAAATGATGTTAGATCGGTTGAAATAAAGAAGGAAATAAAGTAATTGTTAAATCGTAATCATTTTATTTTGTAATAAATACAAACATAGAATTATTCACGCACTAGTTTATTATTATTGCTCTCATTAAGTCAGGATAATATAATATGTAATTCCAGATGAGTAGAAGTACCTTATAAATTAGAAAAGTGTCAGAAAAAAGATTCTAGGATATCGTAGTGGGTAGTTATTTAAATATGACTACGTAAAGTCGTGACAGCTAAAAATACTGTCATTCAGGATAATTCTTAAAAATATTTTAAATATCCAACAAATAGCTTATGCAGGGTGAGACTTAAATAAGTGCAACTATTTTCAGGGCTGGTAGATCTCGATAAAAGAAACAAATTTTTTCCTTACCGTTTTTCAAATAAGTCCAAAATAACCGAGTTGTCTTGCTTCGAAAATTAAAAAAATATATTTTTTTGCTTACATTTTGAGAACCACAGGATCTTTTCTGAATATTCTTTCTCGTAAATTTAATGTACTACTGTTGATTAAAAAAATTAGCTTATTTCTTCAATCAACGGTACTACCTATGTATGTTGGCATATTATCAAGATTTTTTTTTAACTAATAGTAATATAATAATAGCTCCCGTATATAGCGTTTAACGCCTTGGGAGTAGTATCACACATCAGACAGTCTCAGAGCTTTGACAAAAACCAGTACCTGAGACGGCTCCACAGACGACAGCTCTCAATCTCCGACATCAGCCGTATCAAAGTTTATGGCACGAACGGTTGTCGTCTCGGCACGGCGCACTCAGTGATAAGGTGTTCTGGTGTTTCCCCATTTTCCCCATAGAATCTGCATTCGCCGTTGTTTGAGGTGTTCGTTGAGGAGACAGTATCCTGTTAGAAACCCCGTGTCAATCGGAAGGTTGTTCTTACTTAAATCAAGGCAAATTATTTTTCTCGTTATATGACATAAAAAGAATATTATGGAAATTAATTACTGGATTCAATCCGGCAATCCTGCGAACGATGCTATTGTTCAGCAGTATTCATAATAAGTTCGTATAGTAACACGTATTATTCAGAGACACTTTGTTATTCTTATTTCTAACGTAGCTTTATAGTCGAGTTCTGTGACTAGGCAAAGTGTAGCTGTGGCTAAAAATTACTTTCACACTTAAAAGGCTTAATCTTGAGTCATTTCCTGGAATGGAGTAATAGTAATATAACTTTAGTGATGCAGGTTTAGGGTAAGGTCCAAATTACCTGCATTATGAAGGGAAAAGAGTTAGAAGATGAGTCAGATGATGGTTAGCGTGTCTTTTAATACCACTATCAGAGAGCTTTCAGTAACAAAGTATATTCGATTATTCAGGATTTACAAGGCACAGACACTAAACAAGTATAAAACCATAATTTTTTAAGCTAGTGGTTGCAGAATAGATATGACTGATGCCTGTTGTCAGTAGCTTTCTGCTTGACGGAACTTTCTGTTGCGGGAACGTTTGAAAATGATGACGAACTTAATCTAATTATCTTCATATTCATAACAATCATCAAATAATACAAATAAGTTAAATACTAAGAGAGGTACACAAACACATTTACAACTGTCTTTAAAAAACTTGAGTTAGGGACGATTATTTTTCGGTATTCATAGAACAAGTATCCACTGAAGTATTTTTAATAATATTTTCTGTGTAAGTGCATCTACAATCAATTATTTACAATCAATCTAATTAAAAAGAAGTATTTTGTCCAATAATGGAGGTCATTGAAATACAGTGGCTTGAAACATATATACGTGTAAATAATTGAGGAAGGTCACACTTTTAAGGTCCTAGGTTTGCATAAAATTTAATAAGCGATACAAAAAAAATTTAAGGGGGATTGACACGGCCAAGGTGTACTTGGTCCACGTACACTTAGATGCTGCAATATAAGTATATTTATCTTGATGCTGCGTGTGGCTCATTTGTACGCTGCTTGTATCGTTATTAATAACTGTTTTATCCAAATCAAGTTGGAAATCTTTCCAACATCGAAATAATTTGGTAGGGCCAATACTTACTTGGATGTTAAAAAGCTTTCCTACTAGCCTTAGATAAAATATAACCATACAAATAGCGTACAAGTGAGACGCGCGTCACATCCATACGAATCTGATGGCTGTAAAATTCGTTCATTTCTTATGTTTATTTAGAAAATTTATATACATGTTTAAAGATCGTGCCACCTCAAGTCGACTAACAGTACTTCTTTCTGATTTTGAGGAACTCCATATTCATTGTTCGAGGTAAGAAAGCCGAACGACGCGACACAAACGCAACGCAAACCAACGATGCCATGCGGTAAGTCTGGGTAAGTCATAGGTCACGATTCGATTTGTAAACGGTAAACCGCCGCGCCGAATCTTTTGTAGGGGAGACCGTGGTAAAATCATCCAACTGAGGTAATGAATACGGATTTCCACGAAATAGACAAATCAGCGATAGAACAGAGACCCTGCCGCTTCCAACAAGACAGCAACTGAAGTTTCTAAAATGAGGTAGATATATTTTAGACATTTAAATGAACTCGTTAGTGCTTAAACGTTTTTAACATTTCTTTTTTCGAACGATACTAACTAATAGTATCGGTAACTATTAAGATTAACATTAAGAGGTACGTCATAACGATATTCTATAACATTACTAAGATCATTACAAGTTATTACATACATTACAAGTCCTCTATGGAAAGTTACAAAAAGTACACTTTAAACATAATAGCATCTTTAAGAAATCAAATATATTTCTTAGATAAGTAAACACACTGCTTCAAAAGAAAATCGACTATTTGTCCAAGTATTCTGATATTTACTTGTTTACTTTACTTGTTTTTCATCTTCCACTGTCGTAGCGGAATTTATTTTCATTTATTATTTCTCGATAATCCTGATCAATATTACTCTTCTTTTAATATTTACTGTCTTGAATAACTGTTCTGGACTATTTAGAAGTAAAATAAAGTAAAGTAAAGATTTCAGTTAACGTCTCTTTTTTGCTACCAGGGCTAATCTGGACGGGGCCTACTTTGTTTACGCGGAATCCGAACCGCGGTCCTCGGACATATCATCATCAATGGCCTACCGACTTGGCAAGTGTCTAAATCAACTCTTACTCACGAGATATCCGATCTCATCCGGCGTGAATGAGCAGTGTGTGTCAATAGATTTTACAATTTTGCCTTTATTGGACAACAGCACGATACGCAGAGTTTCGAACAGGTCACCCGTCCATCCACTAGTATCGCCTTACGTCGCTTAACTTCGGTGTTCTAATGGGAACCGGTGTTTCAACGTAGCTAGGCCGTTGCTTTTTAGAAGTAATAAAATGTACAGAAAGTAAATCCTGTATACTATTTGCTCCATACTACCACCAAACCTTTTTATTTTTAGCACGTATAAAGTCAATCTTTGGTCAATATGACATTAAAAAAATTATTTTTCTCAAATTATTTATACAACGAAAATATCAATTTGACTTTAAAAAGTTTAATTTGGAGATAGCATGTTTCTTACGCTTGATTTTCATGCATCCGACGATACGATGATTCGATATTAATTTTATTGGTTGAATTTAAAGACTTCGATTGGTTAGAAAATTACACAGTTTTTTATATTTATTGCATTTTCATGCCTCCGTTCATCGGATGTACGATTTGCTTGTGAATGGTGTCATTTTATATTTTCATTTCCATAACGATTTTTTATTTATTTCCATCGCTGTTTTACTTATAGCAAAGCTTATAGTCTAAGAGCTAGGAACGTTTTCGAGAGATAATTTTAAGAAAGCTGGTTCTTTAATGAGTGCGTCTCAAAAGTGGCTCACCTCTATAACTTTTTTTATTATTTCAGATAAAACAACGAGATTTGGTATGTTAGTATATGACATAAATTAGGATTGATTGACGTATTCAATTGTTTTCGGTCACTTCCTGTTTCACCGGAAATGACTACAACTTTTGATTTTTAAACGGCACCCTCGGTATTTTTTTACTTTATTCGATAGAAAATAACAGTCCGAATAGAATGACGTATCATATGTCAACTTTTGACATTTTCGCATAGGGTTTATTTGAAATTATAACTGCAGTTCGGAACGAAAAGTTGACTCGAAATACCAAGAGTGAGGTATCAAATTATTCGTAAAAAATGCTTTTTGCAAATATGCTAATGAGCCACCCTCGTTCTATTTGGAAAAATTAAGATATGATTAAAAATATGATTTGAGCATTTCCTAACTGGCCAGAACAAGACACTAAAAACATTAGACGATCAAATCTATTTTTCCAAGGCTCCTTGATTAAGAATTAGTGTTTTTAACATAGCCATGGCAATCTAGATTGAATTTTATAATACATTTTTTTATTAAGCGAGAACGTCGAAAATTGACATATGATATGTCATTCTATTCGGAATGCCATTGAATACAAAGTAACAAAATACCGAGGGTGCCATTTAAAAATCAAAAGTTGTAGTCAATTCCGGTGAAACAGGAAGTGATCAAAAACAATTGAATACGTCAGTCAATCCTAATTTATGCCATATACCGACATTCCAAATCTCGTTTTTTTATCGGAAAAAATAAAAAAGTTATAAGGGTGAGCCACTTTTGAGACGCACCCGGTATATCTTTTGTTATGCTCTCCTGAACAGAGTGCGGACCGTCTGGCCGCTATATGTTGCGTTCACTACTGCGCATCATATCTGTATTCAACATCTGTTCACTACTGCGCATCACAAATTCGTCCTGTAATTACTAAGAAGTCTAGAACA